AATGGAGGCACAGGGATGCCAGGGCTCTGCCCAGTGTCCTGGGGGGGGGTGTCATCTCCATCTGGTCTGATGCAGAGGCAACAAAGGCAGGCGAAGTGGGAGAGAGAGAGAGAGAGAGAGAGAGAGAGAGAGAGAGAGAGAGAGAGAGAGAGAGAGAGTGATGGAGGTGCCCAGCTCCTGAGATCACAGCCCCTCTGACTGGGGTAGTATCCCCAACACCCCAACCTGTGTATACCTGGCTGAGCACCTTGTAGAGAGCTCTTTAGGGGTTCCTGAGGGGCTCTGCACTAGTAGGGTGTCTGGTCTCCCAATGTCCTTTGTGCCTTGGGCCCAGCTTCTGTCCTGCAAGAGCCTCTTGAGATCCAACCTGATGGGATGCTGCCCCTGTAGGGATCTGAGGACCCCACCTATTCAGCCATGTCCTGTGCTACCCTGGGTAGGTGGAGTCTGGGGCCACCTCCTGCTGCTGCCCCGTGGGCCCTGAGCTCATGGCATGGCTGCCCACGCCCATTTTCTAAGTGTTCTGTGCCCCACAGAGCTACTGGACCTTTTATACTCAAGAGGGAGGAACTGGACCCAACCCTAGTCCTCATCAGCCAGGGTGGGTAAATAAACTGATCATCCCTGAACCAAACACCAGCATGGGTCACAGGGGCAGGGAACAGAAAGGAAGACAAGGGCCAAGGCAGTCATTTATGTCACCAGGAACCACGTGACAGTCACTGAAGCATCATGGGAAAGTTGGACTTTGTCCTCTGGGGAGTAGAGGCTGTGGGGCTCCTGTGTCCCAGCTGCTGAGGTCACAGTGGGATGCAGGGCACAGAAGAGCTGGCTCCCAATTGCCATCTGTCCAGGGCACTGCATAGCCCTGCTTGGGGTGAGGCATCTGTGACAGGAGGAGGGCCAGTGACCAGCGGAGTGGTCGCCCAGCCCTGCATTTGGCAGGCCCTCCACCATGGCATCTTCTCATTCCTGAGCATTTCTCACAAGAGGCTTTTCTACTTCCCACAGCCTGGAACATGCCTAGGCTGGTCTCGGATATTCACCGTGGGAGCTGTATCAGGGATCGAACTCAGGATCTTGCACTTGTCAGGCAGGCGCGTATGCCACTGAGCTGTATCTCCAGCCCTGCTGTCTTGGATTTCTGAAGGGCAACTTGTACCTCCAGGTTTGGTGACTGGTATCACCAAATGGGCTTTTTTTTTTTTAAGTTTGACTTTTTCCCTTTAGAACAAGCGGCTTCTCCAAAGCTCCTCAGTCACAGGATATTACTGCCATCCTACACCTCAGCCCAGGTAAATGGACAATGGGCAGATACTGGCACAAGGAACCCAAGCCTCATTTCATTTTCTCAGGCAAGCGGAGGTCTAGCTCCAGGAAGGCCTGAAAGGGGCCCAGACACACCTGCTGTCTCCTCCTGTTTCTCACCCCACCCTGTTCCTTGCTCTGAAGGACCCTTACCCACCTGTACATGGGAGATGGAGATATGAGGCAAATGCACATCACCTAGGAGTGTGCTTTGAATACATCTTTTTGCCTTTTTTTTTTTTTTTTAAACAAAATAAAGTCATCTTTGACTTGGGCTGCAGCAGGCAAATGAAGCTGAGCATGCACACCTCTCAGTGGCTGGAACAGGTCTGCTGTTGCAGGTACCAGCATGGGTCTTGGTGTCCCACTAACACAGGCATGCCTGCAAACTCCAGGGTGCGCTACAATGACACTCGCTGAAAGCTGCTATCAAAAGAAGTCTACAGTTGGGGTAGTTTTAAAATCTATCAAGCCTGCCGCTGCCACCACAGGCCATGACCCAAACTGTCCTTCCTCAGCAAGTTCCCATCTGTGCCTTGGAAAACACATCCAAATCTGTCCTGCTTTTATGAGCTGTGGCTCCCCAGCGGTCACCTCAGTCTTGTGGTGGTCACATGGAGATGGCAGCAGTGTGTTGGCAAGACAACGGGGGGTGGGGGGGTGAGCTGAGACCACCAGCAAGAAAGGCAAAGGTGCGTCAAAGATAGGGCTCCGAGGACACTCACGGGGCAAAGGGGCATGAAGCCCATGGGGAAACTCAGCTGCTGCAGGGCATGCTTGCACCTTGGGGACAGCGAGGAAGGCACATGCTGAAGGGCAACTGCTGGTAAAGATGTCACTGCAAGTGTAGATGGATGGCTCTCCACAGGTGAGGACAAGACAACACTGTTCCGGGTTGTCATACTGCTTGCCTTCTGGGTGTGGCTGGTCCTGTCTTCAGTTCAGGACCTGATGCTGTCACCATGAGAACAAGATGCGGTGCCTGAATCCTCAGACACACAAATGGAGGAGACAGGTAGGGCCCACCCCGAGGATGACAGGACATAGGTGCCACCAACTTCCTCCTTGCTGGTGGGGTCTCACCACAGCCCCCAGTGCTCTTCTCTCACCATGTCTCTCCTGCCCCTGCCCCACCCTGAGCTCACTGCTTCCTCTCCCACAAGAAACTCATACCTCCTGCCTGGGAGGCCAGAGTTGGCCCCAGGCCCTGGCCCATTCGCCCTACAGGTGTCACCCTAGGTAAGAAAGTCCCTTGCTCACCTGGCCAATAGATGAGCCCAGGGTACTGGCTCCTTGCCACCTACACCTGGCTCTGGTTTGTGGCCTCTTCTTTTTTTTTTTAATATTTATTTATTTATTTATTTATTTATTTATTTATTTATTTTGTGTGTGTGTGTGTGTGTGTGTGTGTGTGTGTGTGTGTGTGTGTGGCCAGCTCAGCCCACCAGGGGGCGGGGCTGGCTGGCATATGGTGCTGGGGGTTTGAACCGCAGTCCCTGTGCTTTGCTTAGCTTAGCTTGTTCTAAGTAGGTGCTTTAGACCACTGAGCCATCTCACCAGCCCTGTGGCCTCTTCTAATGTTTGCACCATATGCTATATTCTGCAGGCCAAGGCTACACACCCTGGACCACCCAGCCCCAAAGATGATGGGGACTACACATCCTGCAGGCCAAGGCTACACACCCTGTGCCCTGTCTGCACCTTGGTCTTAGAGTTTCCATGGAAAGGCAGACCCTGTTCTGCAGTTAAGAGGCTAGGGAGGAGACCCAGGGGGAAACAGAGGCTTGGACAGCTCTACAACTTCTTGGTGGGGGTTACCACAGCCCCAAGTCTGAGGTGGTGGGTATTTCTGGGGGTGGATTACACTCAGGCACCCAGGATCCCTCCCCTTCCTCATACCAGGCCTGTGCTGGGGAAGAGGGTAACATGATGACCTATGGTCTACAGTGTCCATTTTTGTCATGGTCAGGCACTGTGGCCAGCTGGCTGTAGGCCTAAAAGGACAGCAAGGTAAGGGGGCATGAGAAGCCACAGGAGATGGAACAGGACAGTAGGCCTGGCCTGGCTGAGGTGCCAGCCACATGGGTTTGGGTCTGATCAGCACACAAAGGATGGGACAGGCAAGCAGGAAGACAGCAGGCCAGCCAGCTCACTCCTTGTCTGAGGGTCTTCTCTTGTCCTCCTGGGGCCCACCTGGCCTACAGCCAGACACCTGAGGATGCCCCGGGCCAGCAGACACCATGCCCTGTACCCCAGGGCAGGTCATCTCCACCATGGTCCAGTGGCCCCTGCGATGCCCCCACAGACCAACCAGGGCTGTGAGTCAGTATTTCCCTCTCCTGCCAACTATCCCTCTGCTGTCCCAGCAAAATACACTCGGGAAAGAGCATGTCCCATGGCAGGGTGACCAAGTAGCCCAAGCCAGGGGCCCTCCAATGGTGATGGGCTCTGGTCTCCATACCTTACCCAAGAGGTTGCAGTAGCCCTCTGCCCTCCCCACCTAAGACCCTCTATATTTACATCAGGAGACCTGGGCACTTGGCTGGGCTGTACATTTCAGGGAGCCCTAGACCCACAGTGTCGGGCTCCTTTCCTTTTAAAACAAGTACCATCTTAGGAAATAAAACCAAGAAAGTACAATAAAACATACAAAATCACGTCGGTGTGGGCTGACTCTTGAGTTCAACCTGAAGACATACAACATCCATTCTATCCTGGCTGAGGGTAGGGCTGTCTTGCCAGGGCTGACAGGCCACTAGCCTCACAGTCCACATTCCCAGGGGTATCCCAAGGTCTGGGGATGGATCCCAGGCAGGTGGCCCACTCCCCTACCGTCAGACTTCAGCTAGCCAGACACTAGTCTTGGCTGGCCACCCAAGTCCTGAGTCTGAGGGACACCACTCGGCAGCAGGTCCCAGGAGGGGTCACCAGCCTCTGAGCAGGAAAGGGCTTGCTGAGGACTGGCTGGGCTGGTGCACACAGCTCCGGCGGCTCTGAGCTTTCTATTCACTTTTAGGAGTGAGCCATCCATTGCTGGCTGAGCCGGCTGCCAGCTGGCCTGCTGGGGTAGCAGATTTGAGGTGGGGTGAGGGTTTGTTCCCCAGGCATAGTGTTCTGGCCAGTGCGTTCCTTGTGCAGCAGCTGACGCCTCCTGGCCACATTTCCACACAACACACTCGGCTGTTCACCCTCCTGCACTGCAGCCACTGCTCAGCCATCCCTTCTGTGCAGCAACTCCTGCCATAGGGAAAGTTTTCATTCACTGAGAGACCCCCACCCAGACCCTGTCCCCCGTGGAGCAGGTTCAGTAGAGACCAATTAAATGCCCTAGATTGCAGCAGCCAGACAGGGGCACCTGAGGTATGGCGGGCTCTGGTTGGGTGGAAGCCCCGTGCACCTAGGCCAAGGGGGGCTCCAGTGGGGCTGTTTGGGATTCTGGGACAGTATCATTCCAGAACCTGTTTTTGGTGAGGTCAGATCTGCAGCTACATCCCTGCCCATCAGTGTTCGCAGGACTTGACAGCTGCTGTGAAGTCTTGGCAGGGCGGAAGGCTGAATGGGAAATGGCCTCCGAGGATTCCCTGGTCTGTGCTGCTGGACACGGGGGCCGCAGACCTCCTCTTGGCTTGGAATCACGGCTGACCACTGCTCACAGGCAGAGCTGTCTAATAGCAAATGGCACACACAGACCCACAATGCTTAAATACAGATTTATTGCAAACTAACACAGAGGAACTGGAGCAGCTTTGCAAGCTGGACACCCCACTCTCCGGGGCCCCTGGACAAAGGGGATGAGTCACCCCGCTTTCCTTGGACCTCAGCTGGTGGGACTTAGTGGCCAAACTGCAGCTGTCGTGTCTAAAAAGAGAAAACAGGCCGTGCACCAGCTGTGGACAGACACTGGTCCAGCCTAGAGTGTCACCCTGGGCAGAGACCCATCCACCAGGTGCTGGAGACAAGCCATGCCAGGATGGGGCACGGCAAGGCCACGTGGGGGTGGCTGTTCCTGCCATGAAGCCACCACTCCGCATTGCTCTTCCTGGACAGGGGTTGTACTCTTTGAAGCAGGGTAGGAAATGGGAGGAAATCCACACAGCAAACAAAACCAGGCAAGAGGAAGACGCACCGCCACGGAAGGGAAAGACTCCAGGTCCCCATAGGAGATACAGGGCTCCCACACTCCATTACTCCTTGGGAAGACCAAGCAAAAGGCAGGGATGGGGGCAGCTGGGGGACCAGAGAGAGGACAGCAGACACACGTACTTCAGGGGCAGCAGTATGCAAATCCCAGGCTCCGGTGGGAATCTCTGGGAGCTGGCAGCTTTGCTCCCTGACACCAGCCCAGTGGTGAAAATGAGATGCCAGGGTTTTCACAGCTCTGTTCCCTCCTTGAACCTGGCTCACACCTCTCACAGGGCTGCCTGTACCCAGGGGAGCAGAAACCCCCACCTCACACGGCAGCAGGGAACCAGCTATGGCTTCACAGCTAAAATTGGCAGCCCCTGGTGGGTCATTCCCCACCAAGCCCCCAGGGACAGCGCCTCCCCAGCCCCCACAGTAAACAGGCCAGGCTTTGCTTGCACTGGACTGCAGGAGGCACAGGTGTAGAGACCTGTGGTGTGGCCTATCTGTGCACCAATGTCAAAAGCCGAATGAGAGGGCAGCCTGGGCAGGGGTAACACAAGCTCCTGGCTATCAGTGCAGAAGTCCTTGATAGTGCTTGGGCACCCGGGCCCTGCTCCTCAATCTGGTCACACAGTCTGGCTGGAGCAGGGTAGCAGCTGTGCTCAAGGTGTGGGCACAGGGCTGCTGGGGTGGTGCCCCTTCCTCAGGGAAATGAGAGTCTACAGGCTCTGGGGACTGCCATCCGAAGCTGGCTCAGGCACCCTCCTGCTGGGGCTGAGGTCCAGGCTGGGAGCTTGCCACAGTCTCTAACTGAGAGTGCCCGAGTCTGTTCCAGGCCCAATACCACAAGAAGTCCCCAACAGCCCAGCAGAGTGTGTCATGCAGTGGTAGCTGGGCCCAGTCACTTCCACAAGAGCCCAGAAAAGCAGCCACAAGTAAAAGCACGGATGGGACCCACCATGCCTGGAGCACAGATGCAATACCAATGACGTGCAGATGGCACACCCCAGCACACTCACAAAGAGCAAGACACATATGAAAACACCCCAGAGGGCGAGGGGTTCCCGCAGAGGCCCAGAAGTACCCCACAGTGCACCCAGTTCCCCTCATGCAAGCACTGAGCCCCACATTCCAACTTGGCCTTGCTGAGGGGACAGAACTGCCCACCCAGCTACCAGGACAGCAAGCAGAGGACATCAAAACAACAAGTGGGGTGGGGTGGATGGGTGCAGCTCTCGACATCAGCTGCTGTGGAGACAGCATGTGCTCCTGGTTCTCAGGCAAGTGTCCCTCCTGCATGTCAAACACCTTCAATCAACACTGGCCACAGTGGCCAGCAGCACTGGCCCCACACCTTCTCCCAACAGTCTGGAGGTGCGAGGTCAGAGGGGAAGGCTGGGCTCACCCTCGTGAGAAAGGATGACTAGGGGTGATGGAGATAAGCATGCCCCTGGCACGCAGGGAGCCAACGGGGACAGCCGAGGACAGGGGCCATCCGTTTCCTTCCAGTCACTAAAACTGCACAGCCCCTGGGGAGATGTTGAACATGGCTGGGTCGAATCGCTGGCCTCGGAAGGGAGAGCCTTCGGCATCCCACCCCTTCTTCAGCATCTCATGGACTCTCTAAGAACAGAGAACAGAGAGATTAAGGATGGCCGGGACCGCACTTCCTCCCAGGTGCTGACCATGGCCTTGCCCAGGGCACTCGCCTGGCGACCGCCAACTCCTGTGCCAGGTTTTGCGGCCCCAGCCAGTTACTAGTCCTCCATCTCCGTACTTCAGCAGATGGGACTCCAGCCCAATTGGGGACACAACAGAGGAATGTGGGGAGGTTATCACTGATCAGACAACCCAGACTTGCTTGTTCCAGAGTGTGAAGCAACAACCCCCAAATGCCTCCCTGGGGACACAGACAATGATAGGGGACTCTACTCTACTCTCAAAGTACAGCCTCCTGGGTTAGAAGCAGACCTGAGCTGCAAGGCAGGATAGGATGTGGGTGGATGCGGAGAGCCCTGCCAACAGATGCGTCTGCACCTGCACCAGAGCACCAGTAGGCCCTCCCAGCCTCGGGACTGCCGGCCACCCATCACACAGCACACGCACCCTGGGGTGGGCACCGCCTCTACTTTCTACCATAAGAAATGAAAGAAAAATGCAGGGCCAGAGGCCCTCTATGCATGGAGTTCGAGGCTCCTACTGCAGAAAGCCCAGTAGACAGGCAGTCAGGACTCCTTTCTGGGAACACAAGCAATCATGACAGATCAGAGCAGTGGGAAATCCCCAGTGTCTTCAGAAACTGCCAGGTTTTCAGGTCCACAGTGTCTTAAATAAAATAGCATTTTCATGACAGGGGTTTCCTTTTTCTGTGGGCTTCTCCCCCCGGTATTAGGGGCTGAACCCCTGAGCTACATAGCCAGCCCTTTTTTATTGAGACTGATCTATTCTTCCCAGTTTTTTTTTAAAAAATATACTCACTACAGTGTCTACAGAGTCTCACTACACAGATTGGTCTTGTAGTAATCCTCCTGTTTTCAGCTAGGATTACAGGCATGCACCACCACGCCCAGTCTTCTTCCTAACTTCTTATAAAATAACTCACAGCAAAGACCAGAATGACCATTTTGAGAAAAAGGTTCTGTGGTGGGGCCAGAGAGGGAGCCATACACATGTGACGGGGGGGGGGGGGGGGTCTTGTGTGTCCCTGAAGGCCTGGCCCCCATCTCTGTCCATGGGGAACACAATGCCAGACCATTTCAAACAACCCAAGAATGGATGAAGCTGACTACCCACGCAAGAGCCCACAGCAAGCCCTGGAGCCCTTCTAGGCCAGGGACAGCTAAGAAACTGAGCATGCAAAGGTTATCATTCTAGACCTTCCAACAGAGGGAGCTAGGTGGGCCCAAACCTAAGCTCAGACTGCCCTGGGCAAAGGCAGGAAGCAGGCTCTCTGTGTGTCACCAGCTGGCCTGGCAATGCTAGCATCTGCCTGTCAGGATGGTCTCACCATGCTGGAGAGAAGTCATAGAGATACACATCCCAGTACAAACTGACAATAGGCCTGCTACTCCACATTCTCTTCCTTAGGGGAAACTTGTGCAATGTAATTAATTCCTTTTTTTTTTTTTTTTTTTTGGCAGAACCTGGGATTGAACTCAGGTCCTTGTGCTTGCCAGGCAAGTGCTTATTCTACTGAGCTATCTCCCCAGCCCATGTGCAATGTAATTAAATGAGGGACAAGATGAAAGGTATTAAATCAGCTGATTCTGCAAAGAGAGGGCCTCACAGTGACATCGAAGACTTTAAAACAACATGAGAAGTGTTATTACTTCAAAGTCAAAATGCTTCAGAACACAGCATCTGTGGTATTAGAAGCACAATTTGAAATCCTGGCAAATTTAGAAAATTCTTAAGTGCACACCATAAATGGGCATCCATGCCAGGCACGCTGGTGACTGTGATTATGCCAACACGCATGGCAGACAGAAGCTGAGAGAGAACCTGCCCCACCTCCAGCCTCTGGGAGAGGGTAGGGCTATGATCCTCAGCAAACAACCTGGGCTCTGAGGAACTCTTGGGTGGGTCCCTCTGCTTCCCTTTGAGGTATCCCAGATGACAAGGAAAAAGCACCCAAATTACTTCCTGGGGCCTATGAGGGCATGAGCTTACCTTTCTAAGTGTACTCTTTCACTGTCTAAGGAATTTATTTAACATGGCATCCATGGGTATTCAGGACCCCCAAGCCAGGCCAAGCCCAGAGAGGAGCTGAGACTTGGGCACCGAAACATAAGACAGCCCCATGACTTGAGCTCGCTGTCATTCATAACTGTGGGCTGAACTCTAGGGGCCTGCTGGCTGTCCAGGAGCAGGTTGGTGAGGGTCACTCTGAGCCCCACCTATGCAGTGAAGCCCTGGGCTCCTGTAAGTCACTGAATGATCCTCAAGGCACCTTGCTTGGGGCAGGGATGCAAATTCCCTCAAGGCTACCTGGCCTGGCTAGTCCACTGCAGAACTGATTTAGACACAAAATGTCCTTTCTAGACTATAGCACCTGAGGGTTCTTCTTAATCAGGCTAATTCCCAGTCCCTGGGCTCCTGGCACAGGGCTACGAGCAGCTGTGCACCAGGCCTAGGTGAGTCCTATACTCCCCATGCTTGGTCTCTGCCATGCCATGGGGGCCAGGAAGGCCCCACATACTGACCTTGCAGCAAGTCAGCTCCAGCAGGACAAGGTAGCCACATAGAGGGGACCCACAGGCTGTGGTGCCACCATCACCTGGCCCTTGAGCCTCTCCTGTCTCAAGCGGTGAGTGAGGGTCTTGGTGTAAGATGGAGGCCAGAACTTCCCCAGAGCTACCTCACTCTGCTGAGGCACTCTGCCCTATTTCCAGGCCTGGGCAGCAGCCATCAACACAGGGAACCCCGAGGCTCTGGGGTCAGAGACAAGAGTGGCTGCACAGGGGCTGGTGATGTCAGCCCTCAAGAAAGTACCACTGGGCAGCCAGAGGGCGCCAGCACAGAATGCACAGGACAGAGAGGAGAAGGACAAGAAGCAATGAGCCGAGGCTCCTGCAGGTCTGCGCAGGTCCACTGCCCCAGCCGCTCCTGGTTTTGACTTATGTGTCCTATTTTATACATGTGCCGCTAAAGCAAGCACAACCTGTATGTCCTGTGAGAGGCATGACCTCATGAACTTAGGAGCAGTGATGGAAAGAGCTGCAGGGCATTCTGGCTTCTCCCATGTCTCACAGCTACAGTCCACAGAAGACCTCGCTGAAGCTTGACCAAGGCACACAATTCACACCAGAGTGAATACTTTTTTAGAGTTTCTCTGGCAGACTTGAAGCTGGCATCTGGGGAAGGTATGAGGAACCACAGCCCTCAGTCCCACCATCTTGTAGTGCAAAGATCTGCTTCCTTAGGAGCAGGATGCTTGGCAGAATCTCCTAACCTGCCAGGAACAATGAGCAGCTGCATTCATGTCCTGAGTCAAGACAGACCCATGCCCAGAGGTCGCTTCCTATACACATGGGCTGAATTTAGATGGGGCCCACTTCCAGATCAAAGTTTCACAGAAGTGACAGACACAGTGTGATGGCACCAAATGCCACCCCAGTCTGTCTACACCACAGCAGGTGAGCACCAAGCCCCACTGTCACCCTACAGCCCTGAGACCTCTAAGCCAATGGACCTTACAACATATCTATCCTTCAATGTCACCAGGCCCTGGGCAAATGGCTGAGCTGAAGGAGCGTTCTCTCCCCGAAGAGACTAAGCCAAGATTGGCAGGGCCATGCAGACAGAGAAGTCTGGGATGAGATCCAGGGTCAACCCTGCCTAGGCCCCTTTATGTCCTGAATCATTCCAAGACCCTGGGACTCAATGACACTGGAAAGAGAAACCATCATCTCCAGGGTGCTGCATAGGACACTCCCAGGAGCAGGGGACATGGCTGTGACAGAGGCCACAGCATCCACTGCAGCCACAGATCGCACAGCCCCGATGGGTACACGCTGCCCAGACAGGCAAGGACAGGAGAGTCCCACAAACCACACAGAGACTCAGAGCCCAGGGCCACATGTGCAGGCCACAGGTGGCCCAGGGACTGGCTCATTCCCTGCTGCTGACTCCTCCCTACCAATCAATCCACAGGTGAAATAACCCAAAGGCAAATAGCCTGTTCTTCCCTGAGCAGCTACTCTCAGGGTTACTTCTATCTTATCAATCATTCTCTCTGACAAAGGCAGACCACCTGTCCTACACCATGGGGAGGCAGTGGCCCCTGCTCCCAGAGGGACCCAAGCTAGCCCTGTGGCCCAGCCCCCCTCCTCCATCTTGCTGCTGTGAATGATGCAGGGGGCCCTATCTCCTGGCACCCTTGAAGTACCTGTTACCTGGGCTCATGTGTCTTCAGGTAGGGAACAGGTGGCAAGAGCAGGTGGGACAAGGTGTGAGATGCGCCAAGGGGGACTTGACCTGCCCCATCCCCTAGTGTCACCCGGCCCTGCGAGCAGCCTGTCACCAGCAAAGGGGGCACACTGGCCATACCAGCTCATGGCTCTGTGGCTTGCCCTGCAGCTTCTGATGGTAGTCGAAGGTGAGCCTGTCCAGGACTGCCTGCTCCTCCTCGTCCACAGTGGCCATGGAGCGCTCCTTGTTGATCTTGTCGATGTCAATGGGCTCCTCACCCTCCAGGATGGCATTCCACCAGTATTCACCCACCTTGCTCAGGTTCACCTGGAACACAGCAGACATGGACATGGGGGGGTATGGCTAGCAAAGGTTCAGCCTTCCGTGTGGGGACACAGTCTGCAAAGAGGCAGGTGTCCACATCCAGGGATATCCCACAGCCTGCCAAGGGAGGTTGCTGCAAGAAGGCGTGCTGAACACAGGCATGAGTGGGGATGCCTAGGGGATCCCTGTCCTGCTGGCATCCAAGACCTTTCCAGACCCTCCGCTCTTAGTCAGGTGAGTGTGCACACATGCCCACTCCCACCCTTTCCCAAGAGATGCCCCTGCCCACAGGACCAGAGCCTCTGGGTCCATCTTGCCAGTCTGGACTGCCCCACCAGCTCTTGTCAACTACCTCTCTGACTTCCAAGGCCACTGCCCAGTCTCCTACTGTCTTGGGGAGCTGAGACCTACAAAGTGAGACAAAACTGCCAGAGACGCCTCATCACCCAGTGGGGGCTGGGCCTGTCCCCATGTATCCCCTGGAGCCAGCCCTGCTGCCTGGGGATCCCCACTGGGCACCCTCAGGGCAGCCTGCCACATCCAGCCAGGGCAGCAGCAGCATTGAGCTCTGTGTATGGCCCTCAGCATGGGGTCACATGTCCAATTCCCGTGGCCAGGGTCATGCTGTCACACTACGAGTAAGGACACTGGTTGTATCCCTCACCATCAGAGGCTAGGATCACTGGGACTTTTTAGGATGGCAGTCATGAAGAAGAAAGTAGGTCTTTGCCCACCCCATCCTTTCCTGTGACCCAGTAATGAAACAAAGCCCTTTTCTCACAGGGGAGAAAAGGCAGCCAGGGCTGCTGACTAGAGGCTCCCACCATAGAAGGAATGCCACCAGGCCTCCCAACCAGGGGACAAGACGCCAAGCCACACTTCAGAAACTCATGACACATGGGCCAGGAGTGGCCCACAGAGGGGGGCCACCTGTGTGGTCACTGATGTTCTGTGCAGCCCCTATTACCCAGAGCCACCCACACCACAGGGCCAGATCACGCCAGGAGGCAGGCAGCAGGTACAGGCACTGGCTTCAGTGGCGACAGTTTCCATAACTTGGAAACAAGCGGAAACTCGCCCCACAGCATAATGTCAGCACCTCAAAACTCCTCTCCTCTATACACAGCCCCAGCTCCACCAGCAAATGCCTTTGTTCGGCAGCACCCATGTCATAGAACAGGCTGTCTTTGTTGGAGACTGTTGGCTATTATGGCTGGCTTCATTTTGCACAAAAGACCCAACCCAGTGCTCCAAGAACCCACTTCTAGGAGAGAGGATAAAAACCTCCCAAGAGGGAACTAGAGTTTGCATTGGTTCCCTGCCCTGGGAGAGATCTGGAGGTGCTCAGAAGACTGCAAATGACTGAGAAGCAGAGACTTTTACATTTTTTACTTTTGGCCTCATCAGTAATTATCCTTATTAAGATCTACAGAGCATCACAAGGCCTGTAATACAGTACTTAAAATAGCGATGGACCCCCCCATCAGGCCATGCAGGGCACGTCACTTTGGCTCCCAGCCTGCTGCTGGCACACGGTGTCCAGGTGCTCTGCTCTTGATGGCGCCTGCACCTCTCTACAGAGACCCCACAGCCCCCTCCTGGCTTTGGAAACACTGGTCTGGCGGCCTAAGGGAGGGACTCTCCCCCATATCCGACTACCAGCACATTCACACCAAAGTCAGCTGCACCCCCTTCTAACAGAATGTTTGGTCTGCATTTAGATTACATAAAATTTACAATTAAGAGCCGACCCTTATTCAAATTGTTTTTAGATCTAAATGTTTAGATGTCTTCCAGCCATGAGCAGCGGCATACTCGGCACTCAGAGAGGCTGAGGCAGGGTAGCAAGTTCAAGACCTGCCTGGCCAAGTTAGCAAGACTCTGACTCAAAAAAA